GCGTGCGAGAGAGAGAGAGAGAGAGAGAGAGAGAGAGAGAGAGAGAGAGAGAGAGAGAGAGAGAGAACTACGACGGGGCGTACTATGCGAACTATGCGCGTGTGTGCATGCATCGGTGCACCCTGTCGCGTTTGTGTGGTTACTTTTGAAGGTGTTAATGCGTGTGGAGGCGGGTTGGCTGCTCGGCTGCTCTCCTCACGTTCCCTACCCGTTCACTCGTCGTTCTCTCCTTCTTTCTCTCTTGCTCTTGGTCTCCTTATCCCGCACATTCGCTGGCACTGGTTTGTTTTGGTTCACCGAGTGCCGTGCACGTCGTGCGTGTGTGGAGACTGTTAAGTGTGCGCGATGCGCGACACTGGCAGAGAGGAGAGGCGAAAGAGCCAGTTTTGTATGTGTGTGTATATACGCGCGTGGATAACAGCGCACGCACGCACGCACGCACGCCGCGGATAATGTTAACAGCCGTTAGTAAGACGTGCATGAGCCTCGTTCCCAGCTCGAAATTATTGTCTTGGATGTCGCGGGGTATCGCTACGTCGTGTAGCGAGCCATCAGAAACGTGTTTCACCGTTGCGAAGCTCCGCGAGCGTAAGAAGCGCGCATCTCCTCCTCACCGACGTGGGCGGATTAATATCGATGATTGATCAAATGTCATTAGGTGTCGCCGTCTCTTACGATCAATAGTCGGCCTCTCGTTGCTCGTCCGTCTATTTGCTTTTACTTACGCCTCTTTGCCTACTCGTACACCTGCCTTCTTTCACTTCCGTGTACCGCCGCTACTATCTACTTAAGCTAACTTTATCGAGGGATTATCTGCTTTCGCGGAGCCTTCGGTAAATTACCGGGAGCAGCTACGATCCACTTGTTTCTTGTCTAGACTAACACCAGGCGAGATAGAGACGACGGCACCATCTCTATCAAGCCAAGGTATAAATGCCGAGGAGAGCTCGCGCCTCTCTTTGCAGTACGCCCGCGCTTCCCTGAACTTGAACTCGTCCAAGGTGACAGCGACGTTGTACGAATTTATCGTCTCTGTCTCTCGGGCTCTTTGGTCTCTCTGGCAGCTTCTTCTCTCTTTCTCTCCCTAGCTCTCTCTCTTTCTCTCTCTCTTTCTCTCTCTCTCTCGCGCCTTTCTTCAGCCGTCTTTTCCTTCGGCTCACAAAGCACACAATAGCACCCGGCCGATGCCACTGGCGGTTATGGATGAACGGTAGCGAACGAGAAACGACAGTCAGCAAGAAGAGCCAGAAAAAGGGAGGCGACCTGCGGTAAATCGCCCAACGACCAGAATCCCCAACCTGGCCTGGCGTTGCCAGTGACGCAGTTACGGTCGTCGCTCCGGGACGCGATTATGCTACTAATTTAAATCGTTTTTTCCAGAGTCTCACCGAGACTCACCGGTCTGACGGAATAAATCGCACCAATTCCTCGCCGATCTCTTCTCGCGTGAAAAAAGAAAAAAGCGAAA